TATAAAATGTACTTAATGTTACTTGAAGCTAATAACTAGTGTTCGTGTATATAAAATGTACTTAATGTTACTTGAAGCTAATAACTAGTGTTCCTGTATATAAAATGTACTTAATGTTACTTGAAGCTAATAACTAGTGTTCGTGTATATTAAATGTACTTAATGTTACTTGAAGCTAATAACTAGTGTTCGTGTATATTAAATGTACTCTATTTTCTTTAATGTTATTTTCATTGATTCAAATGTTTATTATATCTAGTTCTGTTATTATTTACTTTATTATTACAGAAACTGTTTTATATTGTTAGCTTAATATACGGATTTAGAGCTAACCTAAATCCCTTTAGTTAGATAAACCTTGTGAAATATCAAGTTTATGGCAGAATATATTGTTAACAACGAAGGAATCCAATCGAGGAAACATTATAATATTCATGTTAGAAAGAGAGAAAAGTATAATTAATTAGCTTTATTCATTATTGGTTGATTTTTATGTTTATTTTTGATCTAAGAACATAGCTTGCTCTGACTGGAAGTTAATATTATTTAACTTGTTGTTCAGTTAAAAAAAAGAACACAACTCCTTATTAATGACAACACAAGAAGTTTAATAAGTTGTAGTCTCTTGCATCATTTAATCCACAAAGAACAATGATTTAGAACAAGAACAAAACATGATATACTTACAATAAGAGCTTGTTTAAGGTTATGTGCATTTATTTATCTAAAATAAGAATACACACATTTAAGTATCCACAGTATTTAATCCTTAACACTAACTTGTTTAAGATTGTCTTTTAATTCACATACAACCAAGGATAACAATACATGTTACTGGTCAATATTATGTGTGTTTTATTTCAACTATTTCATGTTATGATTACCATGAAAGTTTAACAAACACTTACTACAACCTCGGACCATTCTAATAACAAACATTCTGATAATTCTACCCCTGTTAGTTATGTTTTAACACCAAACTGTCTGTTTTAATAGGAAAATATCAAAGTGTATACATCTGTGGACGTCAAACAAACAGAAACTATTTAAATGTACTAATTGAGCTTTCTGAGCATTAATAAATGAGTAGTCTTTTTTTTTTCTGCTTTCAACAACTTTACAATGTACCAGTGGTATGTGTACACAAGTTGTAACTTCAAAAGATTTGTTTTACTAATTTCTTTTGTATAGGAAAGTTGAGTGTTTGTCATATTTGAGGTAAACAAATTTAAATAAGACTAACACCAAGTATGTCTGTGTAAATAATTTTATAATGTAGAATTTTGAAAAATGTATTTTGTTTACTGTTTTATCCAAAAATATGAGATTGAAGTAAATACAACACATAATGTACATTTTTAAAAAAAAGAACTCTTTAAAAAATGAAAGAAACAATTCTTATTTTATATGTAATACTCTTTAAAACACACTTCTTTTTAGGTTTAGTTATTCTGGCCAGAATTTAATTTACCAATCTTAAGACTAATGTTCTTTAATACAAACTTACTTCTTTTGGGCTGTGCACTTTTGGCCAGAACTTTAACAAACTTGTTATTACCTGAAAATAATTCACAAACTTGTTACATTCTCCACTGGGTAATAGTGCTGAATCATGAAAAGATTGAACATTTACAGAAATACTAAACAAACTGTTTGAGAATGAATGAATATCAAGTACCATCTTGAATTTCCATGGATTATTAGTAAACTGTAAAAAGGCAATAACATCTTGAATAACCCACAGAACTATAAATGGATGAACCAAGAAAAATAATGTGCTAGAACAAGCTGATCACACATAACACACTAACTCGAGATTTAATCCGATTGAAGCCACCAGTGTGTGGCATTCTCAGAGAAAATGACCTTCCATACAAGTATCAAACAGGTCCACTTATTAACAGCAAGATCAAACTAGAAATTTACATAACAATCTGAACGATAAACAATTTTTAAGCAGTGAGATGTGAGGTATAAAACAACCTTTACTACACATAACACAAAGAAAAAACTGTGTGCCTATTTGCATAGATGCATCAATAATCATCTTTGCTGGTTCCATGAATAAAACTTCCACTTTCTGTCTCTCAAAATAAATGCCTGTCAAACTAAACATAATGAAAACCAAGTACAACTGATGAGTGATAGCAAGAGTTCTCAGCATCCAGGGGCAAAGACACTTTTGGCACCCCCACCTCTGAAATGTTTTGTGACTCATTACCCACTTTATGACAATAACATAAATAATTAATTACCGCCTTACATAGGCCTAAAATAAAGTCACAATATAACATCTCACGATATCACAGCTGTAAACCTGGAACTAATGAAGTATAGCCTACTAGGTGTACTTACATAATTTGTAAACCATTTTGGTATTTATGTCATCAAGTATTGTTCAAAGTAACATAGCTAGAGTAATCTTTCAAGCACACAGAATAAATTTCTGTTATATCCCTAGTTTTGAAACTTATGTTTTATATGAGAATCCAGTCACTTGTGGTGTACATGGATTATAAAACAGATTGATAAAATACTACTTAAGTTTACAAATAACAAATTTTATTAGTTTACAAAACTGTACAAATACTTGACTGGTTCTTGAACAGGTAACATTCTGATATTCATGGTTACATTATATGAACCTTTCGTGCATTTGCAGCTGCACGTGCATTAATTTAACTATCAAAATTTAAGGTATTAAGTGCATATTTTTCGATAATTAATATTGCCAAGTTACTAAGTCATTCTTGAGTCATTGAGGTTCTCAAGTATGTATGAATTAATTTCAGGTTGCTGAAGGACCTTTCACAACTAGCAATAGAAACCCCAATTGTTAACAAAATACTG